TGTGGCCGCGTGTCATAGAAAATGGCCAAGCGTGTCAGTGCTGACACGCGTGCCATAGGTTCGCCATCATGGGTTTAGGGCTTTATAGGCTAACGCCAGATGTTTGAATTGTGCTCGGTAGCAAATAGGTAGCCAGTGGAGCTGGCACAACAGAGGAGTTGTATGCTTCCTGGGCGCCGCTCCTGTTAGCAACCTGGCTGCTGCCCGTTAGACCATTTGCAGCTTCCAAACTGTCTTCAAAGGCAACCCCATGTAGAGAGCGTTGCAGTAGTCTATACGGGATGTAACCAGAGCGTGGACCACCGTGGCCAAGTCAGATTTCCCAAGGAACGGGCGCAGCTGGTGCACAAATTTTAGTTGTGCAAAAGTTCTCCCAGCCACCACTGAGACCTGGAATTCCAGGCTCAGCGATGAGTCCAGGATCACTCCCAAACTGTGAACCTGCATCTGAGATTGTGTCAAATCTATATATATAAATCTGTTAGGTTGGTTCAACGGGACAGCAAAACTCCACAACCTCCCAATGAAACTTAACCAAAATTCCTATGCCCATAACACAACCCACAAGGTACAAACATATCTACTCAAAATGAAAAACAACACAACAACACAATCACAAAATGGCAAAACAACAAAACTCAAAAAAACCCAACGAAACTTAACCAAAATTCCCATGCCCATAACACAACCCACAAGGTACAAACATATCTACTCAAAATGAAAAACAACACAACAACACACTCACAAAACGGCAAAACAACAAAACTCAAAAAAACCCAACGAAACTTAACCAAAATTCCCATGCCCATAACACAACCCACAAGGTACAAACATATCTATTCAAAATGAAAAACAACACAACAACACACTCACAATACGGCAAAACAACAAAACTCAAAAAACCCCAACGAAACTTAACCAAAATTCCCATGCCCATAACACAACCCACAAGGTACAAACATATCTACTCAAAATGAAAAACAACACAACAACACACTCACAAAACGGCAAAACAACTGAGCATGCGCATTGGTGCCCAGCCGCAAGTTCCCTGGCGCGCGCACACAGTCTTCCGGCCAACGTTCCCTCTGCGGAAGCCATGCCCACTCCAAGCCCCGCCGCGCCGCTTCCCGCACACACCCCCCCCCGCCGCACGCACACACACAACCCCACGCTCCATCACTCCCCCCGCCACACACACACGCAACCCCACGCTCCATCACTCCCCCCACCGCCACACACACACGCACCACCCCACCCCCCCCCGCTGCCGCACACACACACGCAACCCCACGCTCCATCACTCCCCCCCGCCGCACACACACACACAACCCCACGCTCCATCACTCCCCTGCCCCAATCTTACCTCCTTTTACTTCACGCCACCTCCAAACCCCACCCCGCCCCTTCCCGCCCTGTCAAAATCCAGGAAAGACAGGAAGGAAGGAAAGAAGGAAGAAAGAGAAAGGGAGGTAAAGAAAAAGGGGAAGGAAGGAAAGTTAGAGAAAGAAGGAAGAAGAAAAGGAAAGAAAAGGAAAGATGGAAGGAAAGAAAAGAGAGACAGCAGAAGAGAAAGAAAAAGGGGGAAGGAAGGAAAGAGGTAGGGAAGGAAGAAATGAGAGACAGAGGGAGGGAAAGAAAAAGGGGGAAGGAAGGAAGGAGAGAAGGAAAGAAAAAAGGGAATGAAGGAAGGAAAGAGGGAGTGAAGGAAGGGGGAAGATGTAGAGAAAGAGGGAGGGAAGGAAAGAAGGAAAGAGAGAAGGAAGAAAAGAGACCAGAAGAGAAAGAAAAAGGGGGAAGGAAGAAGGAGAGAAGGAAAGAAAAAAGGGAATGAAGGAAGGAAAGAGGGAGTGAAGGAAGGGGGAAGATGTAGAGAAAGAGGGAGGGAAGGAAAGAAGGAAAGAGAGAAGGAAGAAAAGAGACCAGAAGAGAAAGAAAAAGGGGGAAGGAAGGAAAGAGATAGAGAAGGAAAAGGAGAAGGAAAGATGGGAGGGAAGGAAGGAAGGAGGGAAAGAAGGAGAGAAAGAGGGAAGGTTGGCCACAGCAACGCGTGGCGGGTAAAGGTTGTTATTTCTATGATTATTATGATGCTATTATTCCTATGAGACCCTTTTAGGGGGAATGGGAGAGGTGTCAGGTCCCAGAGGCAATGCATTGCATTATTGTTATTGTTATGATGGTGGTGAAATAAAAGGAAATAAAAAGAGAAAGAAGGAAGCAAACAGGGAGGGAAGAAAGGCAAAGGAAGAAAGGGGGAGGGAATGAAGGAAAGAGAGAAGGATGAAACCAAGTAGTGAAAGAAGGAAAGAAAGAAAGAGGTAGAGAAGGAAGAAAGGAGAGAAAGGGGGAGGAAAAGGGGGAAGGAATAGGTAGGTACCTCTCTTTCATAATAGTCCAGATATCTACCTCAACTTTGATAAGTTTTACTATAGGCCACAGCAACGCGTGGCAGGGCACAGCTAGTATTTATATAAAACTGTAAATTACGATAAGACTGTCCAACTGATTAAATCATTATTCTAACCTTCTTCAATGTAATGTGCTTACGTATCATCCTTCCAATAATCACCATAGTTTATTTTAATTATACATTTTGTGGAAAATGCTATGTGTATATGAATAAGGGAAAGTGGGAAAGACTGATGCTAAGAGAGGAGGAAGATGCGTGCTGCGCCGAGAGAGGAAGAGAGAAAAGTGTGTGCTGCGCGAGAGAGGAAGGAGAGCTGAGGGTCCTTGCAGGAAGATGTGGGGCTGAAAGATGCAATTCTTTCAGCTCTACACCTTCCCATCAGGACTATCACCCGAGTATAAGCTGAGGGGGGCTTTTTCAGCCTAAAAAGGGGCTGAAAACTCAAGTATATACAGTAGTCATTTCTAGCAGATATCTTCTAGGACTATATAGAATAACCATGCAAGAAAGAGGAGTATAATAGCCCTGTCCCAACCTCACTATAATTTCCGCTGCCCTTCATGTGTGAAGGGCAACTTTCTGAAGGACTCTCCAGGATGCTCAACTATGCTGAGCTTCCAAATGATGTTCACCATGCAATGAAAATAATGAGGGAAGACAATAGAAAGTGGGAGGGGCATTCCCTGATGTGTATTTATTTAACCAACACTTCTAATATACTGATAGGGCTTGTCCTACAAGATCACTCAGGTTGTTTTCCTGGTTCCAAAACCAGAAAGGTAGATAGGACATCACAGGTCAACCTCAGTGAGGACAAGTTCTAGCCCTGTGCCAGTTCCATCCAAAACGAGACTTCGGTTATTTCGTAACTTCTTAGGACTTTGCCCACCTTTCGTAACAGTCAGGTATTCTTGTTATATTATAGCGTAATGAAAACTGTTGGTTTTTTCTTTACTGCCAAGCTATTGTATAGGAGTATAACGTCCCCACCCTCAGTCAACAGAACTGCAGCAATAATCAGAATTGTAACCAGAGTACATAATTTGTAAGCATTCTTCACAAACTTGTAGCCCATATCAACAATCTTTACAAATAAGTCTGTTCCTTATCCAAACAAAATGGATGGTTACATACATTCAAACATTATATGCATGGTATATTAGAATTTACAAATCCATCCAATTAGCATGATGAAATTATATTTCTTGATTCCTGCCTACCCTTTGGATGTTTTTAATGGCTCAGTTGGTGCACAGTTGCATGTATAAAAGACCCATGGGTTTTAGGCTTACCTGATCACATATAGATTGAATTACCATTTTTATAGGTATCATTTCCATATTCTGTACAGAACTTAGAAGAAAAGCTTTTTACAGGCAAGCCTGAAAATTATTACACTAGCATCAGTCAGAATTAAATATATGAAACCGCCATAATGAGCTGCACAATTAAAACTCTGGATTTCTGGAAACCTCCCCAGTTGTTTTCCCATTATAATTATTAAATATGGCAAGGCAACTGGCAATCTTCTGCATTCTGTGGGATTTGGACAAGCACGAAAACAATTGAGATGTAATGTGTGGGTTTTTTTCCTATGTTAATTGAGATAAACTTTTTTTGATGTGGCTGCCATTCAAGTTTCTAACTGAATTCCAGCAGCTGGTCATGTGACTGAACAATGAGCTTAGAAATCTATAACATAACACAGTATATGGGTGGCATTATATGGAACTGTGCTCCAGTTTGCAAAGGAGATGCCTGCTGTGGCATTTGAACAAACTTAGCACATACCCAGGACAGTTGTGTAAATGATTACTTGCAGTCTTTTTCAAAGCTATGTTATCCAAACGAGAGGTTTCTCCTCCTTGCCAATCCCCTCTCCACACAGTCTGTGTATAAAGATATGGTAGTGTGCAACTGTGTTTTATCTGTGTCCACAAGGTGATAACTGGGAAGGGAGATGACTCTGAGCTTCAAGCAGACGTTTTGCTCAGAAAAGAAAAACTATATGATGCACTCCAGCTATCATCTGCCACCTTGTAAATGACCAATTACTTTTGCAGCTGTATTTTTCCATAGTCTTCCTGTGTAAACCCATATTTGCTGTATTATAGGATATTATTCAGTACTGGAATTATTTGATCTTTATTTTTCAAATGTGCAACAGGTCTTCAATACAAAATATTGGACTCTGGGTACTCCTATTTTCCACTTTTATTGTTTTTTTAAAAAAACTTACTATGATTCAATGCTTACAACAATATGCAAATGTATGTATCACAATGGGAATTAATTGGCAAACCTACCTGTGCTTAACAGCAGCAAAACTTTCATTATGGTATATTCTTCAAAGCTAAGTTGCAAGCGAACAAATTGAAGGCTAATCTGGTGCATCCCCTGGCACAATTCAAACATTGCAGACTGGCGCATCCTTTCTCTGGAAAGAAAAAGGACAAAACATAGATTAGAACAGAAATGCACTGCAACCTTTAAATGGCAGTTCATGTGTTAGAGAAGTCTGTTCCCAAAGGATTACTCTTATACCATTAGCAGCTGTTTGTGTACTACAATCAGGACTTGGGTAAAGATGATAAAATCCTTAGATATATGATCGGTCAAGGTTTAGCCCTTTGAAGTACCAATGAATTCAACATAAGATGAAGATGACGAAGTCTGTACAATCTCCCCGCATTAAATAAAGCAGAAATACATTTTTTCAGGGCACATGACTTCTCACTACATCTTTTCCCATACTATTTTTGGCCAACCTGTTCACCCTTGCTGAAATGAAAAGCTAATGGAGTGTTAAACTTTACAGTACAGTTTCTTTGGAGGGAGGGAACAGGCCAAAATGTAGGGAGAGAGAAGAGCAAAACAGATTCATACATTGATAGGAAAACACAGGTATACATTTATGTCACACTAGAAGTGTAGTGATTTTTTTTTCAACTGCTTAACTAGAGGAGGGATGTCATTGCTGATCAAATAAAGTAACTAAACTGACATAATTCAGTGGGCAAAAATGCAAATTTCTTCATGTTACAAGCACATGGTTGGTTGGTTATAAGAATGAATACAAACTATCCGAAAACAAACTATCAGAATGAATACAAACTATCAGAAATTTTCCATCTTAACCAATCAGGTTTGAATCTGTATGGGAATGTATATTAAAACACTGAAGCTATCAGCCCAATGTAAGAGTCTGCACTTCATCGTATGGTCAATTTTGAAGATGGCACCTGAGCGACAGTACAATTTCAACCTGCAATTCATTCAAATATTCAGTTCAAACATTGCTTTGAAAAGAGATACATATGGGCCACATCTCTGGAAGTCATCAAATTGGATGCCTTTTAGAGATTAAGCTACCGCCAAATGTTTACTTCCATACCAGTCCTGGAAAGGCCTATTGACCTGAGGTCCTCCTTGTGAGCTCCTAACATTATCCACCATTACAAGTAGGATTCCAGTCTAAATGTGTGCTTTATTCAGATCTGACAAAAAGTTTCTTGAGGAGCTCACAACCTCTGAGGATGCCTGCCATAGATGCAGGCGAAGTGTCAGGAGAGAATGCTTCTGGAACATGGCCATACAGCCCGAAAAACTTACAGCAACCCAACTTTTCTTGTGTGTGTGTTTTTTTTGTAAGTAGTTGTCAAGGGTGCACAGAAGAATACGACAATTCCAGTATTGGTTGTGATCCTATGTCAGGAGCTATAGCTTCTTGGCATTCACAGAGAACTTCAGGACTTCAACAGATGATGTCATTGCTCTGCGCCTAGCAGTAGGAAAATAGCCAGGCACTTATTTGCCATTTCCTCTGCTGCTCACTGAAATGGCTGGATTTGGGTGACTACAAAGTCTGGGAGAAGGATTTTGGTTGTTGCATAATCAATAGAGTATTCTGGCCTTCACAGTGACCAAAGAGTGAATTATGATGGTATAAATCTGTCTTATACCCCTATAATTCACCAATGGAATGCCAACCAACATGTTTTTACAAAGTATTGGGCAAAGGGTAGAAATGGGATACACCTGTACACAATATACTTAGCATTCTTCCCTGCTTTCTCCCCTTGGCTCTCATTAATTAAATATTTATTTATTTTTAAATTTTCAACCAGTCTTTCTGACCACTTACACCAGGGGTCCTCAAACTTTTTAAACAGAGGGCCCGGTCACAGTCCCTCAAACTTTTGAAGGGCCAGATTATAATTGGAAAAAAGCAAGAACAAATTCTTATACACAGGGCACATATCTTATTTGTAGTGCAAAAAACACTTTAAAACAATACAATAATTAAAATAAAGAACAATCTTAACAAATATAAACGTATTAGTATTTCAATGGGAAATGTAGGCCTGCTTTTGGCTGATGAGATAGGATTGTTGTTGTTGTTATGTGCTTTCAGGTCATTTCAGACTTAGGTTGACCCTAAGCAAGGACTGGGTAAATGACCTTGGAGGGCAGTATCCGGCCCTTGAGCCTTAGTTTGAGGACCCCTGACTTACACTCATGGCACTTTGCACTGTAAACAGTACTGCAGTCAGGTTAAATTCAAAATCTTAATTAAAACAATACATAAAAGTAACCCAATTAAAATAGAATTAATAAAACACAACAGCTCTCAACCAAATCCAATCCTTTTCAGCACTAAAATTAAGACAGCAAATTAAATATTCTATTCCCTGGGACAAAGGCAATGGAAAGAGAAACAACCTAGCTTCATTTGGAAGGGAGATCCAAAAAGCCATCCAATAAGACCTGCTTTCATACACCTACTAACCATACCTCCAACAGCAGTGGGGCAGAGAGAAGAACTTTCCCCCAAAAATGTTAAAACCAGATTTAATTGAATAATGCAGCCTTTCAAATAGCAAGACTTGATGCTGCATACAGCTTTTCTATTTGTAGAATGAGGTCTCTTTCTACAAGTAGAGCCACATGATTTCTATAACCAAATCTAGTCAACAATCTCCATATACTTCTCAACGTGCCACATAATTCCACATAGAACACATTACAATAGTCAAAATGAAATGTAGCTAACGCATGTGTTACCATGACGAGAAACAAAGGTAGCTGGCTTCATTATTGAAACACACTATTGGCCACAGTCAAAAACTGAGCATACATGTTCAAAGTTAAATCCACAAGTATATTTTCACTTTTTTAGACTACTGGCAAATAGAGGGAGAAAAAGTGGAGGCAGTGACAGACTTTGTATTTCTGGGTGCAAAGATTACTGCAGATGCAGACCGCAGCCAGGAAATCAGAAGACGTTTCCTTCTTAGGAGGAGAGCAATGACCAATCTCGATAAAATAGTGAAGAGTAGAGACATCACACTGGCAACGGCAGTCCGCATAGTTAAAGCAATGGTATTCCTCGTAGTAACCTATGTATGTGAGAGCTGGACAATAAGGAAGACTGGGTGAAGGAAGATAGACGCTTTTGAATTGTGGTGCTAGTGGAAAATTCTGAGAGTGCCTTGGACCGCAAGAACATCCAACCAATCCATACTCCAGGAGATAAAGCCTGACTAGAGGCTAAATGAAGTACTTTGGCCACATAATGAGAAGACAGGAAAGCTTGGAGAAGATAACGATGATGGGGAAAATGGAAGGAAAAAGGAAGAGTGAGAGGACAAGGGTAAGATGGAAGGATGGTATCCTTGAAGTGACTGGCTTGGCTTTGAAGAAACTGGGGGTGGCCATGGCCGACAGGGAGCTCTGGCGTGAGCTAGTCCATGAGGTCACAAAGAGTTGGAAGCAACTGAACAAATAAACAACAACAAACTACTACTTCAGTGTCTGAGGAGAAGGAATATATGGCAGAACCTGGACAAAAATACAACTTTGTATCAGAATTCCCAGAATCCCCAAATAAAATGAACAGTGGTCATGTTGTTTGAGGGATTCTGGGAGCTGTAGACCAGAAATGAACTTCTCCAAATTCTGGTATATGCTAACCATCAATTCAGTGATAAGCCATTTACTGTATTGAAAACGATGTGATTCTCCTTTCTTTAAAAAAAGTAAGTTAACAATTGGGTTTAACTTTCATTTATCTATCTGTCACCAATCATAATTATCAGTACTTTAAAAAACCACTTCTCCACAGGGGGGAAAAACTGTAGTAGTGTTACTTGTAACAAGGAAAAGGTCCCTAGGCATTTAGTCACATTACCTGTATTATTTAAGACACACAGAGAGAAAGAGAGGGAGGAGGAGGAGAGAGAAAATGTGCTCAAACATGAACAACTATATTATCCTTGAAGGAACCCTGGTACTAGAGAACAAATACCACCTCACTTTTTGCCTGTAAGATTTCTCAATGATGCAAAGAAAAGTTTATTTAAAGAACATTTTCCTCCAGCCATAAATATATAATCGAAGCAAATATGCTTTCTGTATGACTCCTTCAGGAAGCACAGATGAAAGCTAATCTTTCACTGTGGTCACCAGAAGCCAGTACAGACTTTTACAGCACTGATGCATGAGGTCCCAATGGTTTCCCCCCCCCCCTCCCATCTAGGAACTAGCTATGTTGCTCAGATCTGAACACTCAAATAAGCCTACAAGGTGCAGTCTTGAAGTTGTAAAGTCAGGTTTACAAGTTATCAAAGCACATCATACAATGTCCAAGTTTTAACTAAAGCCTTTCAATAAAGGAACAGCTGCCGTTCATGTTTTAGAGAGTATATGTGCTCTCTTCATATGTGCTGGATGGTAAATAGTTGTACAAATCTCACAAGTATCAGTTTAGTGGGCAGAGATAGTAGCCATGACGCCACTGGGCAATGAGCAACACCACTCATTTACGTCCAGGTTTATTTCTTTATCAACCAAGAACTCAATAAGTGTGAATCCATATATATCTTCTCTAAAAGCATGACATTTCAGGATACCCCAATACTCCTTTCATAGAAATATCTAACTTTTCATGAATGTTTTCCTATTGATTTACACATCTCTCCATGTTAGTTCTATTAAAATACCACTAAAGCACTTTCCTTTTGCTTTTCGATAGGAGGAATAAAACACTCTTTCATTCACATTGCATCAAGAGCCCCCAGTAGCGCAATGGGTTAAACCCTTGTGCTGGCAGGATTGCTGACCAACAGGTCAGCAGTTCAAATCCTGGGAAAGTGGGTTGAGTTCCCTATGTCAGCTCTAGTTCCCATGAGAGAAGCCTCCCACAAGGATGGTAAAATATCCAAGCGCTCCATGGGCAATAGCCAACGCACTCATACAGAAGTAACTTGCAGTTTCTCAAGTCGCTCCTGACACGAAAAAAGAGGTTGCACTATGATTTACATGAAAACTAAACAAGGGTAGGATATTATTTTCTTGAGAAGTCTTTGAGGATGGGGAGAAATTCTGGAGGAGGAGAAGGAGAAGGAGGAAAAGTACTTGTAGCCGATATGGCTGAAT